TGCGTATTAATATAAGTTTAAGTCACCTGACTACCTTCACCTCATTTTGAGGTTACGATAAAACGATCACACTTCCTTTGCTCGGGTTGAACAACGCTACTCGGACGAACATGCAGAAATCTTTATGCTCTCTTATATCTCATTTTGATCATGGTCACATTCAACAAAAACCTAAACAACGGGCATAACACGAGTCCGAAGCAACAACAACAGTATAGAACCAAAAAGTTCACACTAGAAGAACTCCACGAAAAGCTATCAAAACGAGACAACAGCAATGGAGAAAGAAAACCATCTGCTAAATTACAATACGCTAATGACACGTTCAATTACATCCACGCTATCCCACTATCGTTATGCATTCACGTGGCTAACATGCGCTAGTTGAGGGCAAATGAAGAGGAAGAAATTAGCCGGCTACACATAATTCAACGATGGTGGGTGGATGACAAGAAAGTTGCCGTAGGGAGCAGGAACTCACAGAGATGTACCCACTTCACATTCCGTGAGCTGCACTAGTTACAAATAACCAATTTTCAGTCATACTTAGTTCATAATAAAAACGTCTAGAAGGCGAATGTACTCAGCAAACAAAGTGTGAAATGCTCATACATCTCCTCTAAAACAATAAGACGACTGAATCGATAAGATGACAATGCAATGCAATGAGGAATTCATCAAGTTCATATTTGCAACGAATTTGCTTGGAGACAAGCATACATGACATGGGCGCAAGTAACACGTAAAACTCATGATGACGATGCTGAAAGAGAATTCCAGAAAGACATTGACAAAATCGGTATCGACTACAGACTGCCTTAATTTTTAAAATGGCTCGGAAATTCTGCGCTAAGTAAATAGATGCATAGCGTGCTGTTGCAGGCGATTGCGGCCAGAAATGGAGGGAAAGTCGAAGTTGTTTCACGGACTATGCTATGATGAAAAAACGTACTGTCATCATTTAGGAAGACAAAGAAATGGTGCGCAAATTCCCATGCACCTCCCAGCAACTTGCGAGTAGCTACATTTGTGAAGAAACAAGATCTGAAGAGAAAGAAGCGAAGTTTTGTTACGAGGAGATTTGCATTAAAAAATAAAGCACGTTTTCCTTTTCGCGAAAAGGAAACAAATGATTAATCACTAGACAAAGGTTTCGCAAGTTTCTAGGAAAGCGCAGCAGGAATATAGAGAATATCCTAAAAGTGTAGTAACAACAGTACTGTTTAACAAAAGAAATAATCTTCTGCTATAGCACACACCAAAAATAAGCTAAAGTAATGAACATCACCTAGCCACAACAAATAAAGAGCTATTCAGCAATAGCCAAATGCGAAAGAATGACTTTAAAACCATAAAAAGGTCAACCTGCTCGACGAGAAAAATAACAGTGCACGAAAATATAAACAATGCTGTAGATTATCGACCCGACAATTCAAGGTACGATATCCCTGCAAGCATTTGTTCCGTAACCAAAAGAAAAACAGCAACGACAAAATTCAAAATTTCTGATAGAATTCAATAACCGGCCTGAAACCACAACAATCGGTTTACTTTGTAAAATTGAAACATGCTGGTACAGCCGCGGTCGGGTTGAAGTTGTATCCACCCGCTTGTTCTACACGCTTCGACTCCTCAGATCTTACGTGCTGTTCGCAAACCTACAACGATCAAAAAACTTACAGGAAAATCGTATGTGCTGCGCAAAAGAGTCCAAGTAAACGGATCATTGAAAGCATCAAGCAAAATAAATATGCACCTTTATAAGGTTTTGCAGTGATTCAGCTACTTCGGGCGTGAGATTACTAACCATCGCAGCAAAAAGATCGGGTTCACGCCTTTCAAACTCTGCAAATTCTTAGAATTACAAGCAATACATAACCAAGAGGGGCAGTTCAACGAGTAAGGAGAAAAGAGCAGAAAGTTCGAGGTTGTCAGAGGCTTGCTTCTCTGAGGGTTTTGGTGGAGCACATGTAGAACTCCCACAAATGCAAGGTGGAGGGTTACACTAGTTAAGAAAGCCTCAGAAAACTTCATCATTAGTATGAAAATTTATAAATATGAAGAATGGGCAGTGTGCTGTTTTAGACTTACGTTCCATTGTTTCCTTGAAAAAGATGAAGACATCAGGTCCATCTTCCTCATCAAACTTAGTCGCGAATTGTTCCGTATCAGTTTCCTGAACGAAAAAAGGCATTCAATCCGTACAGTCGTACTAATCTGACCTGCCCACCATATTTTACAGCTCAACATTCACCTAACTAAAAACGAAGCTACAAAGCAACAAAGTTCAGTATATTCACCTGGTAATCTGAAGACTCAATGGCACTGTCAGAATCGCCACCATCATCTCCATTTCCGCCGTCACCAGCTTCACGTCTGCATTCTCTTGCCATAGCATCAATGTAGTCCAGTGACATCTAGAAGATATTAGAACTAATTTCGCTATGGTTTGCAATAAACTCATTTAAAACCTCATCAATTTCATCCTCATCATCTGACAAATGTTCAGATTGCACCTTGCGACGACGTCCTGCTTTCTTCGGATTAGGTACAGTGTCACCTTCGTCATCGCTTTCAGCCTCAGACTCTGAAAGGAGAGGATCAATCGATGTTTTTGAAGTAACCTGCAGTAAAATAACCACCTTCATCCGATTCTTCTTCGTCTTTGCGGTTCTGCGCCTGCAATTTTAGCGCACGCTGGAGGGAATCGAAAATGCACAAGCATGCCTCCAATACCTTATAATTTGAGATTATGAATGTAGGAAGCTGCTGAAAACGCTCGAATTTACCTTCTTGGGATCAGAAGAAACCAGAGAAGGACGCCTAGGGGCCGGCACCAGAATAAGAACACAGATTCCAAACAATGCCAGTCTTCTATAATTAGTCACTTCCACCTTATATGACATAAGAGAAGATGGATGGACCTGTTGTGGATTCCTTCAAACTTCTTATTCGTTTCGACAAGCTCTTCTAGGATGTAGTTCAGCACATTTTCATTTGGGTCAGACACTTGGGAAATGTAGTTTAAAAACACTTCCGTACATGTGTACATCGCAGCAACTACGACCTAAAATCCGACATTTACATGGATTCAGTGTACTTTAGTAAGTGATGTGTAATAGATTCTAACGCTGCAGAGGTCAAGGACCACCAATCATTCTCAAAAAGCGTCCTTTTAAATCATCCCAAGAGTATCAATCTGAAGCTTTTCCAAGCCTAATTCTGTACTACACTTACAAGGAACAGCAGCGGCCTGAGCTCAGAAAGGCCTTCTTTAGTACAAGCTTTCATGAGACGGCGCAACACCATTACAATGATAGTAGGCACAACCTAAAAGGCTGGTAACGTTATAAAATGAGAAAAAGCCAAGCATGAAACACACCGAAGTGCGAAAACAACCCTTTAAAAACGGAAGAACAGTTACCTCTGCCGCATGACTTCCACATTCAAGTATTATGGTTTCCAGTATTTTCGCGGCATAGAGATGATCTTCATCGCCGGCATCATCATCCTAAAGTTACGCTGAGAAAATTGCAAAAAGAATGAAGCGGAACTGCTACGTCATTATGATCTGACCAAATGCTACACCTTGACACCAATCTGCGACTCTGGTACAAAAAAAGAAAAGATGCACCTGGAGTGTCATCTGGCACATGTCAATCATGGCCGCCATGCGTTCAGGGAAAGCCAGAAAGCTTTCGTTGTCGACAACAATGTACATGTGTAGCACATGAGCAATATCTTAATTTCAACTGAACTAAAAGCAAAATATCAATTTTGCTCCGATGACAAACCAGAAAACGGTAGAATAGACTGTCTATCCGTAGTCTTGAACACTTTATACAGCTCGTTATAGACACCCCACATCGGTTCGCTCACGTACGTTTGGAGAAGGGATTGTAGAAGAACAACGACATCCTCGTAGAATTCTGAATAATATAATATGAGGTTATAAAACCTCTTACATACGTGACAAGTACATAAACACAACGAAAATGCACTTGCTGGTTACAACGGATTAAGGTCAATGTTCGTTCGATGTCAGAGTATTGTGCTAGAAGGCTAAGTCACCAAATGTATTTCACAGTTTTAGTGTGATACTATGTAGAGCTCATGTTGGTGAAATGCCATGCAAAAATTTAAAGCGAAGTTAGAGTAGAGATAAGTATTCAACTAAACAGGCTGCCACGCCTGACTAAATTTGCCATGAAGTAACCAAGTAAACTAGAAGGTAACAACAGCTTACCGATATGGCCTGCTGTTAGGATGCAGTTAATAGGCTTCAGGACACTTGCTTCCACATGAACCATAATTTCTCGATGATCCTCCACTAGCTACAATACATCATTATGATTTTTAGCAGACATTTTACAGATGATAGTTTCAAACAAGTTGAAAAGTTCTTACGTCAAGAATATTGGTTAGAGTAGGAATAATGCTATTCAGGGCTGGAGTCCTATCGTCGATCTCATCGCTAGTAAGAATTTCCAAGAAAAGATTTGACTGAAAACAGGTGCTGGTAATTTTAAAGATGACAGTTACATCTAATCTTTTAAATAGAAAAATAGCCCAGATTCCCCCTATTTATAAGGCATTGCTAAGTAAAACAAAAGGTCACAGCAGTATATAAGAAATGCTCTGCAGTTAGACAACTGTAGATGTCTAATATACGATCTTGATGTCTGAAGAACTATGAACTGAATTATACTCCAACTAGGGCTGTTCGCATCGTCAACTTTCAAAAGGTTCCATAAACTTGTTCAACTAACGTAGGCGATAACATTTGCTATAAACAAATGAGTTAACCAATTAGTGTGTTGCCACATCTAAAATCCTCCAAGCAAAACAGCATCATCTCCTAGATATTTCCGTCTATTCACCCCACTTGCTACGTTTTGCTGCTTTCTGTGTGCGAAATGTATTCCACCAATTTCAATGAAGATGCTCCTTACCAGATGCTCAGCTACTTCGGAAGCCACCGGTATGATATCTTCCACAAATTGCTCCAACAACTCGTCTACAACGCTAATCACATCATCGATTTGAGCCTTCGACACGATTTCCAGGATTTGAAGAACGAGCGAACGAACATGCGGTTTGACAATTGCATGAGCTGAAACAAGAAACTTTGAAGAAATAGATAGACCAATTCAATCATGAGGACTACGAAAGCTTGAGCAACCATTTATAAGCCAAATTGGCGCGTAAGTTAACTCGCACTCTAAATTTCGCAAAAAAAGGAATTCATTTGTGCAATACAGTGAAGAAGTTTCTCCACTAGCCGTGCACTGCAAAATTTAAGCGCGTAACAGCCTAAAGGGTAATAATACCTTAAACGTGAGCAGTGCTTCTATGTTAACATAGCGCTTCTAGCATGCTCAAAAAGGTGTATTTTATAACTTAGCACATTATCTTAATTCATGCATATAATTTCAATTACATGTCGTCCAAAAATTTCAAATGGCTAAGCACTTCTAGCAGACCTCGGCGGCAGGTTTCCGGAGGGCAAGCTGGAATTCGTTTTTGTGGAAAAAGCAAAGGGGAAATCGTATGAGGTCCAGAGAGGAGCCTGCAGTTCAATCTCAATTATGGCCGCTTTTTCCGCAGCAAAATTGTTCCTAGCGCGGATGTTCATGCAGCGGCCTGAGTATTTCCTTCTTATTCAATACTTAATTCAGAGTAATT